TAATTGTTTTTTGTTGTTTAATACATATTAAATTTGTTTAGACATAACCATTATCATGAAAACCATTTTCGTTTTGATATAAAAATATTCTTTAAATAAAAAGGTGTGGTTTATTACAAACATTTTTATTTCGATTTAATAACTGTGCTTAAGTTTTTGTGCTACTTTACGAACGTTAATATAATAAAAATTATTAATATGATTTTAAACTACGTATGTACAATTGTAATCGCTTATTTTATTTTTATATGTATCCCCTCTTCCAATTTATTTTCTGATGGAAGGTAATGTCCTTTTTATTTTAAAGACAAATTTGACTAGTTTTATATGTAAAACATATTGTTGATATATGTTATATTGTTATTGTTATTTTTACCATATCACCATGTATTAAATAACAAAAACATATTAGCAAACTAGTAAAAAATACACTTGAATACTATGCTTTAAGTAAAATGCATAATGTGAAAACATTACTAGCACAAACTCATTAAACTAATCCCATATTAAACCACTGCAAAAAAAATTTACATATACATTTGCTTTCATGTAGACGGTAACAAAATAAATTGGGTGTTAAAAAATCTATTTAAAGCTCCAAGTCAAACAAATTATTTTAGTGAAAGTGAAATAGTGCTTAGGTTTTGTTAGATTGAAAGAATGTCATCTTTGAGACAAATATTAAAATAATTATTGTAATAATTGTAATTTACCGTAGTTCGTGGATATATTTTAAAATGTCTGAATGGTACCATATACTTAGTTTTTGCATTTTGCCTGTTAGTGAACTAACTGCTAAGATCTTGACTTTGATGAAAATGTTGTCCATAGGGTCATTTTTTTACGAAATAATGTTTTCATTCCCACTCCCACCTCCTAAAATTTTCAATTTTTGGTATAGGCTACACTAGATGCATGATATAGTAAAACAGTAAGAAATCTTTTTTAATTCCATTTAATCGTTAAACCTGAAATATTTTGATGTTATAACAAACTGAATACGAAGAATAGGTTTTTAATTGCAACCCCTATAACAATATTTAAAAAATAAATGAAAAGGGTTACACTTATTTACTGTTTCGACCGAGTTAAACGAACATATACGTTTTTGCGTCTACCGCCAGGAGCGCCTTGTAGTTACGGCGCACTCGCTACGTAACTACACGGATTCCTAGCGGTGAACGCCAGAAAATATGCTAACCGCAGCACTGCTGATGGTCTATATTTAATTTTATTTGTCTGTTCTGAGAACTAGTACACTTCTAGACTTTTACTTTTAAAAAGTGATATTCTCTGAAAACAAATTGTCATTCCCCTAGTTATCGAAGAAAATCTAAATCAACACTTCAAATATGTAATCCTACCACAATGGCCTCTATATCTTATATGGAAACGACTAAAACGACCGCATTAACACTAATCGAAACTTAATATACAGACATTGCTATTTCATAGTGTCTGCTTGTGCTTCATTATCGCTAAAATAACCATTTGTTTACACATATGAACAGTATTCAAAAGCCGGTTTTGTTTTTCACATACAACTTTGCTAACGTCAAATTAAATTATAGAATAATATATTGGGATAGTGGTACACTCCCAAGGAAATCTTCCTGATAAAATCTATAATACATCAATTTGATATTCCATAAAATATCCGTAGCCAAGTCTCCCCAAGACTTGGCCATGTTTCAACTACTTACCATATTAAGGGTTGGGCTCAGATCTTTGAAGCCTCTGATATCGGGATATTCAAGATTGTGTTATTGGTGTACGATTTTTTGTTTTATATGTTAAATGTAACATACGATTAAATTTAATTCATTTAAAATAATTTGTTATGGATTCAGTATAGAATTGTGCTATATAAGTACAGGACATAAATTTGTTAGTAAAAGTCCAATTACAATGAATTGAATTTTAATCAAACCATTTAATTTTAAATACATATATATATTAACATCATACTCTTTACATATACGTTTTTATAGTATTGATTCATGAACAAGTCCAGAGAGAGGCATTGAGCATCAAAAAGAATTTCAAGTTTAATTGTCAAATATGCAAAAGGTTAAAAGAAATAACTTAACTTGTACATCCCATTGTTCTTTATACATTAATATTTTATCAAATACGGAATTGAGAATAAATAATATGTGATAGGAATGGCTTCATTCTAACATTTCTGCTTTTACTGCAACCAATAACTGCTATCAATAATTACTATTAACGGGTATTTAAATCAACAGATTGTCATAATTTGTTCATCCAAACTTATAAAGTATAAAGAAAAATATTCAATTATCTTAAAAATGAGCTTATAAATGATTAAATCGATACACCGAGTGATATACCAATTGGAAAAACTAATTATCAGAAATAATTCATTTTTTTATAAAAATGTTCGACAATAAGACAAAGTTCTAAGTAAAGTCTTCATCAAATGGGTTTCTAAAGGGAGAAGAACCACTCCCGGTATAATTCTACCTAGGAACTTCCAATTCCTAGTAAGACATTTTACAAAGTCAAAGGTATTTCTTTTTCGAAAATAAACTAAAAATACGGAGTTCAATCTACTAATGGTGTCTCAGAAAGCCCCAAATCAAAGTTTCTTACTTATTTGACTTTAGTAAATTTATTTATTATAAAACATGTCACCATTCAATGTTTAATATGTTATGGAATTAAATCATAGGCCCATGCGAAATATCATAGCAAAAGTGTTATATTTGATAAATAAATAAATAGCCTTTTCAATGAAGCAAACTTAGGACTTGTAGTATTATATTCCAGTTGTTTAGTAAAAACAATAAAGAGAACCAATGTCGCCATTATATTCGTACTGACTGATAATTTCTATTTTAAATTGCATTTAAACGACAAATAATAAAACGTATTTACTTATTAAATTAAATTAAAAATCCTTTCTTACCAAAACTTTGATCGAATATTTTGTGTGTGAAATTTTACGCTGGAATACTTTTCTGAGAATATCGATATGCAACACGTTTAAAAGAGGGTTTGCAAACAAAAATGTTTAAACTCTTTTACTTTTATTCTAACCTCAGGGTGTTCATATTATTAATAAAACTGACATAAAATACTTTCATCTTAAAACTCAAAAGTAATATATGCAACAAAATAACTAAACAGGAACCAAAATTGTAATATATGTGTTCAATAGATTGTATTGGAACAATTGTGTATAGACGACCAATGCCTATGTTATTGAATTATTTTATCATCCCAAATCCTTTTCATCTTGTTGTAAAACGTTTATTGTATTCAATACAGGGTGAAGGTAAGGGAACAATCAAAGGAGCAAATATCTGGAACTGTCTTTCCTTTACTCTATTGAAAGATTCTATCGGAATATTACCAATAAAAAGAGATAAACCCCTTTTGCAGTCTGTGACTTACATATAGAACGACTTCAATAGAATATTCCTTCGAATCGTTATTGAAATATTTGCTCCTTGATGTAATGCTTCTTTGAGAAAATTGATTGTATAGTTTTTTTTTTTGTTTTTTTTTTGTCCTAGGACGCTAGGCACGTGCCTGGGATTGTTTTTCACATTACTTCAGGCTAGACCTAGGGGTTGCGGCATTATCACTTAGATAAAATCCATTGGTGACTTGGCGGGATCGAACCCGGGACCTCAGGGACTGAAGTCCCGCGCTCTAACCACTACGCCAGCTCGTTCCCCTATGAATAGTAGAGAGGATCTTTGTAATCATATTGAGACTTTTTAATTTACTTTTAATTTATATTATAGCTTATATTGTACATTAAAATCATGTTCTATTGTTTTTCCCTGTTATATCACGTAGATAATTCTGGTTGGAATAACTAACAATTCATCATCTATCACAACAAGTTATTTCCACTGTTTTTTTTTTTTTTTTAAGCGTATAACCCTTAACTTTGATTAGGAATATTGTAAGAGTCTGACCAAAATATGCTATTCAAAACCATTTGTAGTTATGGATTACAACCAATAGAATGAATATAAATACATGATAATGCATGTTTACTCAAAAGTTTTCTGAAAAATTGTGTCACAATTTGAAAATTCACCACATTTAACCCAGCTCAGCATGCCTACGTCTTCTGCAAGTAGGAATTAAAAATCGAAAATAGTTAGGTTAATTTAAATTTACAAAACACATCAGACATCCTGCAGAAGTAAGAAAATTCATTTATATTTTATTATAAATCAAATTAATAAAATTGAGTTATTAATTACTTGAAGAGCATAGGGGTATATTTTGGATTTTAGTGTATTTTGCCAATGGCCTGTCAAATATTGATGCTGTGCAAGAAAAGCTCAAAAATTTTTAAAAACTACCAGGGTTACTGTTCTCTTACAAATAAAAAAACTATAAAATGCCAATTCTATAGAAAAAATAAAAAACTAAAGTCCTCTAAATAAAAAAAAAAACATTCCAATATGAAAATATTTTTACGATATTATTTTCATTTTCTTTAGAGGAAAATGTGCCATTGGTTTATTTAAATTATCTCAAAAGGTTCAATGGTTATAATGCAATAAGCCTATAAGCGCTCTTTAATCCATTCTAATTACTTTGGCTTTTTCCTGAGACGATCTCTCTGTATTAAACCTTTTATGTGAATTATTGTACCTAATTGAAGTTCAACATACCGTACAAACTTTGCTTTTATGAATTTACTAGCAATTGCTTGAATAGTGATGTTACAGTTATTCATTTTTTTATACCATCTCTTTGGTATATAAATATAAGCATCAGCAGATTTTAACAAAATCGCCAACTTGAAAAAATAAATCCTACATTGATGCAAATACTTTTAAATTATTTTGTTTTTATTCTTTTAAAATTAAGGCCTATGAAGCATGTACGATAGCAAGTAATTTTAAAATTATAACTAGGCCTAACTCATATAATTAAACTTTTTTTCTGAAATATTTCAGATCTTTTATTTAACATGTATTGGCAATATAAGCTTATTTTTGTTTCAGATATGCCTAGGGACATAATGTAAGTACATTTTAAGGATTTTATTATACTTGTACTTTAATTCTAGTTTGTAAGTGAGAACTAAGAAGAGGAAGGTCTATGACTGTAGCAAAATGTCTTTTAAAATTTCATAAAATAGACCACTACTCGAAATAGTAAATAAGAAAAGTTTTTTTAAGATTATCACCATTTAGCTTTAAAAACAATGTGTAATACAATAACACTATATAAAATTAATTGAGTTTGAAGGGGTACTTATACAAAACCTTATTTGGTAAAAAAATGTACAATTTTTTTATGTGGTTTTTTAATACCACAGTATGTAAATCATTGCACATTGGCGATTCAAATTCTAAAATAACCATCCAAAATCAGTCTTTGCAAGAATTGATTAATTTATGAGACACTATTTCCATTTTTTTTAAACTAAATTTAAAATTAAAATTAAATCTTGTAATTGTTTACGTTTTTTTATAGAATCAGTTTTATGTTACGTTGTGTTGCTTTTCAAAAAAACAATACAAAATCTTTTTACTAAAGTATACACATGTAACTCTTCTGGCTGTTTTAAATTCGTTGAAACTAACAATTTAACATTCAGCTCTTTAAAACAAAGACAAATCCGATATCATGCCAAAACAGACATACTGTAAATCACAATATCAACTAAATGGCAAAGTTCAAATCCTCTATGACAACGGATATTCGATATTGTAGGCCGATATTAGTTAACTTACATGACTGTTGCCATTATTTATGTTGTCATTTGTTTTAGAAATTTCCCTTTAAGCCAGATCATGGGTCTATTCTAGAGAACTCTTAAGACAATACATTGATTACCTACCTTAGAGTAGAAGCAGTTCAAGTAACATCTTATAACTTATTGTCCAGGCAAATATATAGGAAGACCTAATTGACTAGATTCTTCACTGTAAATATAAATTTATTTTGCAAATACTGTATGCTTAAACATTTATTTAAAGGTGCATGATTAAACAAGTATCCAACAAGCTATAACAATTATCTAAATATGCAAAAAACCTCCTTCTTTTTCCCTAGATATATATTCAGAATCAGAATCAGAATCAGAAATCTTTATTGTTTCATATTTTTCATATTTTTTTACAAGCTTTTACACAGAGGACTTAATATATTATACACATGTAATTCCTTGAAAACCTCATACAACGATATTGCTATTGTAGTTATACTGAGGAATTTTTGGTTGAGTTTTAAGAATAATTAGTAATGCATATTTTGTATCTCGTCCCTTTATTTTACTATACGACATGAATGGTTGTGCGCTCACAGATAAAGCTTCTCCCGGCTTTTCTTGACAAGCGCGCAAGAACGTTTTGTACTTGTTTTCCGGCGCTTGTTCACCGAACCGAATGACAAACAACTGTACTGTAATGATGTTGATGAACCAATATCTCAAGTCCTTATATCGAACTTAAAATAAATCTTAAAACCATATGACCACTTGTAAAAGAGTACTTTAAAGCAATCTTTTTTGTTCAGAAGACATAAATCTTACTTTGCATAATTATTTCACTTGTAAATTATAGTCTGGAACTTTTGGCTGAAAAGTTTTAAGTGGCTTTACTTGTTTCAACTGCGTTGGCACTTATTCAAGAGAATGAATTGTTTAATGAATTAGAGGTACTCTTGTGTTTAAAAATTAAGAATTGAATATTAGACCATTGTTGAGAAAACCTTGTACGTTACTTTTAATTGAGTAATGATTTTACTTCCTAATATTTTTTGCCATTTTATTGTGCTCATTCTAAACATTTACTATGTTTCGTTATATTACATACGTAAAACAAAACTAACTTTTACCATATTTATTTAAAATAAAAATTAAATGCATTTTACTCTAATATCAAACTACCCATGTATGATCAATGTATGCAAATTATTGAAAAGTGTTCAAAGTACCATTAAATATATAACAAATAATCTAAGGTTTGTAGAATCTCCAGTGGCTGCAAGTGGATAGCAAAATCTAATATTCATAAAAGTCACAGAATCATTTTTATCGATATTGTTATAGCTTCTAGGATTGATACATAATAACAAAAATATAGCATCATAGTGTGAATATTTTAAAGTCATCATAAAAGGATTTGTATTTGTAAATTGACAGAGCATTACATTTGTAAGATTTCAGTTCTTTCGTAATTTTATATTTTTATTTAATACAAATATTCAACAGATTTTGGCTAGTTAATTAGATGTCATACTTAATTGTTTACTAACTTGAAGACGCTACTTCAAAGAATAAGGGGGCTATTTAATGTTAAAAGATAAAAAGGTTTTTGCATTTTATCCATCCACTGTTTAGAGCAAAACAGGAAAGAATAACATGATTCTTCTTCTCCTCTTTAAAGAATTTATTTTCTGTCCATAGTATAATTTCCAAATAAGCTTTAAGACAGGTGTTTTTCTGCACATATTTCATTTTCAAGTTTTTAAAAGTATTCATAAATATTTTTAAAATCTACTTACAATCAGCCCAATATTTTACTAACCAATATCGTTGGTATCCATTACGCTAAAACGTCTCAATATCAAAGGGGACCTCAGTTACTCAGGGGTTTGAGGTAATGCCAATTACCATATTCAAGTCAACCTCAAGTAATTCAATTTGTGAGACCTCTTGTCAGTAACGGAAAAAGGCTTTGTGAATTTTATAATATTAAAATAAGTTTATAGTTGTTTGCAAATGGAAGGTAATCCACCATATTTAGTGAGAGGCTTATTACATTATATGTTATTATTACAATATCTTACATTGATTAAACTATATTAGCATATATATATATAGCATATAATATATAGCATATATATAGCATATATTCTTTAAGCTAAGGTAGTTAAAGAGGTTCAACGACGTTAAAAAAGAGGGTTTCAAGCGATTTTACGTGTTGCGACACTTCTACGAGTTCACTATAAGAGAAAGCTTGTATCTAAATGGGTGAATAATCTGAAAGTGCTCTTAGCAAAGGTTTATAGTAGCTCTTATCATATAAAATGATACCAAAATAGCTGTCAAATTATAAATTATTTGGCACCGTAAAAATTAAGTTTATTAAGATATTTTAATTCTTTCTGCAAACGGATACAACATTAAGGGGTTTACAAGTTTGGTTGACATTTATTCTTGTAATAATCTTTTAAAATTCGTTACTTAAATTAATTGACAGATATATTATAAGTTCTAAAATATATTCCAATTCTGTATATTCTGTTATGGCTCTTTACTTATTTTGTTCCGTAACAGTTTAATAATCTATTATCATTAGGTACAACTAGGTTGATACAAAATATTAGATTTATTAAACCATTGATTTCCATTGAAAAACGATAAATAGATTTGTGAGTTTATAACATAAATGTCGAAAAACAGTTGATATTACTGATTTACTGATAATACCTTTATACGTATTTTTTTCACAATTAGGGAAGGTTTATTTTGCTTCTTTTACAATTGACATTAATTTATTGAGCATTTAATGTGTTTATTCCCTATATATGATCCACATCGGGTGAAAACATAAAAGGTTAGTTTAGCATAAATCATAAAATTAGTTTATAGTGTTACCTTTTTACGTATAAATAATTCAGTTGAGCTGAAATAATTTATAAAATAATACGGATATAAATATATTTTCCATGCCATAAAACGGCAGTCTTTGCGTTTTATGATGCTATTTATGAAGTTTTTGAATTGTTGTACGAGCTCTTGGTAATATCCATAAACCTCCTCCACTGACATCTTCTCGGGTATTCTCGTAATATAACTTATAAATAAAGACGAGGAAGTCATAACAGAATATATTTATATTGACATAAACTGATACAGAATATTTATAGTTGTTTATTTGAAGTTTATCTTATCAGTTAATGATGTTACTGCATCGTTAGGAAAACCTGTGTTTTTGTTTGTTTTTTCCTTAACACGAACATAAATCGATAAAGTCTTTCCGAGCCAATAATGTCAATACACACTTACATCCAATTAACCTATTAACTTCCATGTGATTACTCGTTATTAGCACTAAAGAAATTTAGAATGTATTACTATATATATATGTATATGTACTACTTAAATAAACGTGCTTTATAAATATTTACCTAAAAAACACATATTAATTATTTTTTTATAACCAAATATATGCATAAAGTTGTTTAAAAAAGGATTCATTATTCGTTTATGTAGATTTGTGTATGTAAGTCTGAAAGAGTTTTATCGTTGTGTACATTATAACAGAAAAACCTTTTCAAAATATTTTACATCCTTAACAATGAAACATCTAAGGGTTTCCTTTTAAATATTCTTTTGTAAAAAAAAGTAATTTTACGATAAATTCACCAATTACTTTCTTCACTTCTACAACTTCTAATTATGTATACGTAAATATTAAAGTGTAAGATAAATATATTTTTCATATTAAGAACATTCATAGAATTGTTTTTATGCAAACCATGTTTTTTTAACTTGTTTTATAGCTCACCCATTTTGTTATATTCTGTACAATATATCCATCATAAATTACACGAAACGTCTAACTATCAAAGGAGACTCGTGCCTGCCCAAGTACTTGAAGCATGGCCAATTACTATATTCAAGGCCACTTGAAGTACTTCAATTTGCGGAAGTTTCCTTGTTAAGGATAAACCTCGTATAGTTAATACGTTTAACAAATATTTATGGCGTATTTGCATCTATTTCTATTAATATTTTTTTGTGTTTATAGCTTTAAATATGTTTTTACATTTAGAATATATTAGTGAAATGTGATTTAACTGTGAATAATAATAGTGAAATTGTGTTTATAAAATAGACGAACTAGTCGTTGTCTAAAAATATAATATATGTTTGTAAATTAAATAAGGATTTATATAGCCAAACAATATAGCCTCATAGTACTTTTAACCAAGATTCAACTATAGTTTAATCGGTTTAAAATAAGCAGTAAAAGGTCAACAGTAACACCTCCAGGAATATGCACAGT